TCACTCACTCACTCACTCAGTCACACTCGTTCGCTCACACACTCACTCACTCACACACACGCTCACACGCACGCTCACTCACTCACTCACTCACACACTCACTCACTCACTCACTCAGTCACACTCGTTCGCTCACACACTCACTCACTCACACACACGCTCACACGCACGCTCACTCACTCACTCACTCACACACTCACTCACTCACTCACTCAGTCACACTCGTTCGCTCACACACTCACTCACTCACACACACGCTCACACGCACGCTCACTCACTCACTCACTCACACACTCACTCACTCACTCACTCAGTCACACTCGTTCGCTCACACACTCACTCACTCACACACACGCTCACACGCACGCTCACTCACTCACTCACTCACACACTCACTCACTCACTCACTCAGTCACACTCGTTCGCTCACACACTCACTCACTCACACACACGCTCACACGCACGCTCACTCACTCACTCACTCACACACTCACTCACTCACTCACTCAGTCACACTCGTTCGCTCACACACTCACTCACTCACACACACGCTCACACGCACGCTCACTCACTCACTCACTCACACACTCACTCACTCACTCACTCAGTCACACTCGTTCGCTCACACACTCACTCACTCACACACACGCTCACACGCACGCTCACTCACTCACTCACTCACACACTCACTCACTCACTCACTCAGTCACACTCGTTCGCTCACACACTCACTCACTCACACACACGCTCACACGCACGCTCACTCACTCACTCACTCACACACTCACTCACTCACTCACTCAGTCACACTCGTTCGCTCACACACTCACTCACTCACACACACGCTCACACGCACGCTCACTCACTCACTCACTCACACACTCACTCACTCACTCACTCAGTCACACTCGTTCGCTCACACACTCACTCACTCACACACACGCTCACACGCACGCTCACTCACTCACTCACTCACACACTCACTCACTCACTCACTCAGTCACACTCGTTCGCTCACACACTCACTCACTCACACACACGCTCACACGCACGCTCACTCACTCACTCACTCACACACTCACTCACTCACTCACTCAGTCACACTCGTTCGCTCACACACTCACTCACTCACACACACGCTCACACGCACGCTCACTCACTCACTCACTCACACACTCACTCACTCACTCACTCAGTCACACTCGTTCGCTCACACACTCACTCACTCACACACACGCTCACACGCACGCTCACTCACTCACTCACTCACACACTCACTCACTCACTCACTCAGTCACACTCGTTCGCTCACACACTCACTCACTCACACACACGCTCACACGCACGCTCACTCACTCACTCACACACACACACACACACTCACACACACACTCACTCACACACACACACACACACACACACAGGCGGACACAGAAAAAGGTGTGTGATGACTGAGTGTATCGCATGTCAATCAAAATATGTGTAAAAACTACACAGTTAATCCAGAAGTTAACATAGTTTGAAAATATTTATTTACATATTCAAATACATTTGACATTTAACGGCTTACATGTCATTTAAAATTTATGAAAAACGCTCCCTTTTAAAATCTTGTTTTTTTTTCTTGTTTACATACATCTCGTGAATTAAAGTAAAAAAATGAAGGCTTTAGAATGATTTGAAAAATTTAATTCCTGACTGAGAAAAATAAAGCAAAACAAAAAGCCCTTGCAGATTTTTTAAAAATGTTCATATATGTAAAAGACAACACATTTAAAGTTCAGAATTTGAGGCAAAAAGAGCAGATGTTTGGAAAATAATCTAAGAAAGTGTTGTATTTGCTCCATGTACAAGCAAGAAAACCTGTCACCTGTGACAAATATCAGAGGTTAAAATGAACCGCACGCTTACATATTCATATATTCTGTGCATAGTTTGAGACAAACACCAGCTCTTCGGTGCATCTGATGATAGTGCTGTGTGTGTTTAGTTTTATTGCAGCCCTACATGAACAAATGCTGGAGACATGCATGAGTCACTCTTAGAGGTTTTGTAAAGGTGAACTTTATTGCTATCTGAAACGTTTTGATAACATTGTAAAACAACACCCACAAGTCTGAGACCACGAGTTCCTGCTTTTAATTCATTTGGATTCTCTTCTAATAAAATAAATTTAAATATAAAATAGTGACAATCGCCATGTTAAACTAGCATATATATATATGTATATATGTACAGTATATATATATTATAAATTATATTGTATTATGACATATATAAAATATTCATCAGAAATAATTTGAAAATGCTGCACGACTTAATATGCCCCAAAGAGCATTTGAAGCAAAAAAAAAAAAAAAAAGTCTCTATAAAGGGGTTCAACATGGTGAATTTTATATCTAAATTTATTTGCATAGTTACCTAGAAAAATCTTGCCTTATTTTTGTCTTATCTTTATTTATTTTTTTACTCAAATGTTTATTTCCAGGTTTAAAAACCCCCCTAACTTGCAGTGTGGTCTCAGGCTTCTGCACACCTCTGTTTTTATGTCATTTTTAAAGATGAAATAAGGAGTGTCACGTTTATGTCCATGGCTTTATCTGTAAGGCCTATGAATGCACAAACACAAGTGCGGTTTGAAATCAGCTGGTGAAATGTTTTCACAGTGGTACTGCCCTCTTTAACCAGACAGCCAGAGAGGAATCTGATAGTTTCTCTGCTGACGAAGGTTTTTCAGTGCAAACACACCAGGACTAGATCAGAGCAGTACAGCGAGCTCAGAATCTGTCAGACACAGACTAGTACAAGTCCCTCATGATCTCCTGCAGCAGCGGGTGCAAGCACCAGTCCACCTCGGTCTCCTTCAGCAGCTGGATCAGCTGCACGTGATCGGTCACCAGCTGCCGCAGGTCCGTCATCTTCTGCAGCACTTTGGCGAACAGCTGCAGGGAGTCGGGATGGCTCGTCTTCAGCTGCAGCTCCAGAGCATGAAGAACCGTCTCCTGCAGGTCCTCGATGGGCTTGACGTTCAGCAGACCCGGTCGATCTACCAGACGAGAAACGGTTTGAGACAGCTGTTCATTTCACTGGGAATTATTACAGAGCAAACGGAGCTTTTCCTATAGATTTGTTCAGGTGAATCTCACGAAGAGTTTCAGGGTTTCCAGTCATATTTCAGCACAGAAACGGAAAGAAAAGAAAATGAAAAAATAATAATAATAATGATGATAACCAACATCCCTTTCCCATTTTCTCATTATTGTGATAAAAACATCACATTAAAAACAGTAAAAAAACACTCAATTTTTGTTATTTAAAAACGATAATCATAAAAATAATTCACCAGGATTTTATTTTTAATAATTACCATAAATTAAATTTAGTCCAAAAGCTAACGGAATTTATATTTACATTTATGTTTATTTTTTTTAAATTTTACAAATGTTGTTTATAATTTAAAGATTATCATTATTAATAAAAATAATGTCACACTTACATTTTCAAAACTTTGCCTCTTTTTTTTTTTTTCAAAACTTTACACACAAATCCAAGTACTGCACACAAAATGCAAAATTCCTTACATCTCTCGCAAAATGAAGCACTGCTTTCAAAATATCAAAAGCAAACATTTGCAAACAACTTTGCCATAATATTAATTCCTGTTAGATTTGTGTGTTGTGTTTTGCAAAAAGTGTTTTATGAAATTGAAAACTGAGTCAAAGGCAGATAATTAGTGTATGGTTTTGCAGATTTGGTGTGTGCTTCTGCTGTTTGAGTGTCAGCTTTCAGAAACTGTGTCACAAGTGAAGATTCTGTGTGTAAGCTGATGAAAAAAAACTGTAAATAAAAAAATAATAAATCAATAGGGCTTCATTTTCTTCATGGCCCAGTCTTTTCTTGCACGTTTTTGAGATTCACCTGTTGTCTGATGTTCTGAGTCTTAAGTTAATTTTCACACAGAGTATTTTATCATGTGTTTGCATCAACAAAGTTCAAAGTTGGCATTTTAATGCATCTCTGACCAATAAAACTAAACGATAACTGCACCGGTTCCTGCAGAACTGTGAATTAAACAACTGTAGTGATAACGAGCCAAAAAACGGAGGTATGACGCAAGCTGGCGACAGCTCAGATCACAAGAGTCTGGTTTAAGCTGAGCGGAGATGATATGGTGAGTCACAGCTTGTGGTCGGACCTGAGGTTAGTCTTAGCATCGGCTGACTGATGCAAGCTAAAGAGGAGGTTTGTTCTGGAAGCGAGACCCACCTCCGCTCAAGATGATGACGGCCAGGAACAGAGCCATGTCGCTGTCGTCCAGCTCCAGCGCGTTGAACCTGACGGAGAACTCAAACTTGGGCTCCATCATCTCGCAGAAGGGCTTGCGCAGGCTCTTGAGGAACTCGCGGGTCATGAAGATCTGGCCGTAGGAGATGAGCGTGCCGTCTTTGTTCATGAGCGGCGCTATCATGATGATGAGGACTTCGATGACGCCATACTTCAGCAGCGTCACCTGGTCATTGAGGTCCAGGCTGACGAAGCCTGGGATGCTCTTGGCGAACTCGGTGACCTCGCTGACGGCTTCGGCCGAGCGCGACTGGCAGCTGTGGAAGAAGCGGAGCTCCACCTCGTGCATGACGCTCATCTCGGCCCTGCGGAGCTCCTGCGCCGGCATCTGCCTGCTGTTGATCATCTGCTCGCCTTCCAGCAGAGACTTCATGTCGTGAATAACGAACGGCTGTGAACCAGAACAAAGTGATGGGAAGCTTACTTAGGTTACAAGCTACCCTACATGAAATGTAACAAGTAGTGTAACTATTTCTATTACTTTATTAAAGTAATTGATTACATTTGATACTTTTTGATTACTTTTCTACATTTATAATGAATTGTTTGAATCATTCTGAAACATGTAAAGCAGGCTGGGTTAACTTCACAATAGTGATCAACGCTGATTACTGTCAGGCTTTCAAAATCCTTCGTCACTTGGATTAAGATTATAATAATTTAATTTTAAAGCACCGCTACCACAAAATCAGACTTACTTTGGGATCGTTCTGAGGTTGAATACAGATTTGAAACCATAACAAGAACTAGTTTAATAGATATGTGACCCTGGAGCACAAAACCAGTCATAAGTGTCAGTTTTAGATTGAGCTGAAAGCTGAATAAATAAGCTCTCCATTGATGTATGGTTTGTTAGGATAGGACAATATCTGGCCGAGATACAACTATTTGAAAATCTGGAATCTGAGGGTGCAAAAAAATCTAAATATTGAGAAAATCATCTTTAAAGTTGTCCAAATGAAGTTCTTAGCAATGCATATTACTAATCAAAAATTTAGTTTTGATATATTTACATTAAGTTTTGAGATTTACAAAATATCTTCATGGAACATGATCTTTACTTAATATCCTAATGATTTTTGGCATAAAAGAAAAATGTATAATTTTGACCCATACAATGTATTGTTGGCTATTGCTACAAATATACCCCAGCGACTTAACACTGCTTTTTGGCTCCAGGGACACATATAATTCTGTTTTTGAAATCAAATCTTTTGCATAGCTATGACAGGAAACACTGGAATCTAACAATGGCTTTGGAAAAAGCAGTTAATCTTAAAAAAATAAAGCATATACATAAACCCAAATAGGAAATAAAACAGTTATGGAATAAGCATGTGTACTAAACTCCTGAAAAATTGGCGTCTCATACTTAGAGCAACTTGGGAAAGAAATCAATTAAATCTCTATGTGTGTGAAAAAAATCAAATGTAACCTCCTTTGTAATCTTTGACATTTTCATAAGTAACTGTAATTTAATTACAAATTTTTTTCTCAGTAACTGTAACTGATTACAGTTACATTTATTTTGTAACTAGTTACAATGTATCTAGTTACTCCCCAACACTGAGTGTGCGTTACGAAATCTTCTATAAAAGTAAGGGTGCGATCACACTAGTTCGGTTCTCTTGGTTCATTTGGTCCGGATCAAAAAAAGAAAACAATACATTTGTTCCTGGTCCACGTAGTGTTCACACTGGCATTTCTGACAGCGAACCTAAAGGCATAGTCACACATTCACAACCTCATTGGTCGGGTTGAATGACGTGTATTTTGTGACAGAACTCAACACCAAACAAAAGGTGTGTTCGACTTAAAGCGGCACTGCGGGTGTGTGATATCAAAGCACCCATTCACCGATCGCTCTGCTCAGCGCTGCTTTAAGTCGAACACAGCTAATGCCGTCTGCTGGACTAAGCGTGCTCATTGTTGAGTGTACATATGATTTTATCTTTACCACATGCGAACTCACGAAGAGCTCATAAAAGGCACTTTACCTCCTCGTTGCTCCACGTTTGTCCTCTACTCATTTTGTTTTGGATACACCGCTTGTTCTGCGTCGTCAAATCATGTCGCATAGCATCACATCTTGTCATTACATTCTGTTTTTGGTTCGTTTAGAAGTATTTGGTCCATGTTGCGTTCATATTTCATTCAAACCGCACCAGGATTCGTTTGGAAGCAGACCGAGACTCATGTTTTTAGCAGTCTTGTGCACACCAGGGTTCGGATCGCAGCGTTCACACTTACTCAAACGAACTGCACTAACAATCGCACCGGAGTTCGTTTTAATCGAACCAAACACCCTGAGAGAAGCTCATGCGTAACAGCTGTTCACGCTAACTAACTGTGTGTAAGTACTCGAGTCTGGACAAAATCTGAGCCAAGAGCATATTTTCTACGGCTAGTCCAGGAGTCCAAATCCTCCAGAAAATAAGGTTTCGGACTTGAGTCTGAGTTCGGTCTTGTCTGAACTCGAGTACTACAACACTGGCTGTAAGCATTACTACATAAATATATGAATTAGTGCTGTCAAACGATTAATCGCATCCAAAATAAACGTTTTTGTTTACATAATATATGTGTGTATACTGTGTATATTATGTACATATAAATACACACACACATACAGGTACAGTATATATTTAGAAAATATTTCCATGTATATATTTATATTAATATAATTGATATTATATATAAATATTTTAAATGTATAAACATAACATATTTTTCTTAAATTGCATGTGTGTGTATTTATATATACATAATAAATATACACAGTTCACACACATATATTACATAAACAAACACTTTTATTTTGGATGCGATTAATCGCGATTAATCGTTTGACAGCACTAATATGAATGCATATCTTGGCATTGGTTGAATATGAACCTCTCAAGGTTTCTGTCAAGTGTTGCTGCAGAGATTTAGGCCCGAATGCAGCCTCAAAACGCATCCTTTGTTTCCCAGGCCATGAAGGACTCAACAGATGGATCCTTCGCGACAGACTATCCCAAGATTCATTACTTGCCGTGGGGATTTTTTTGACAGAAAATGCCAAATTACACTTTTAAATGTTAGTATTAGGTTTCAACTTAATTGAATATCTAATGCTACAAAAACAAACACTTTAATATCCAGTGACTTAGATACAGTGTTGGGGGTAACGCACTACAAGTAACACGAATTACGTAATCAGATTACTTTTTGCAAGTAACTAGTAAAGTAACACACATTACTTTTTAATTTACAAGAAAATGTCTGAGTTACTTTTTTAAATAAGTAATGCCAGTTACTTTGTTTCCATGTATTGACTGACAGCTCTGGTGTTGCCATGGTGACAGAAATCAGGAGTAAATGCAGAGGTATAAACATGATCTTACTGTACTTCATGAATTTGCTCATCTCACCTGCACAAAAACAGATCCAGTATTCCTCAAAATTAATAAAATGAAATGCAAACTCAGAATATGACGCAAACCTGCAATAACTAAAACTGTTAAATAACAAATATCCTTTACGTATTTAATCGCATTGTATTAAACAGTGTCTTTGCTCCTTACTTTCAACGATCCAATTCAAACATACTAAGCAAATATGACTTTAGATAAACATAACATGTTCTTCATTTTAGTTATTGCTGAATAGTGTTGAACTTTCTTCTCCTGCGTCATATTCTTCATGCAGTTTGTGTGAGCAGCGCCCTCTACTGTACAGACGTGAATTTACATTTCCTTCAGCCTGAGGCGCATTCACTTCACTTTTGCTGTGAAAGGGCTTTTTCATTTGTCAAAAAATTTAACTTTTTTTTATATTAAAAACAAACAAGCATGCACTTCCCAGATGAGAAAAAGTAACGTAACACAATACTTTCCATAAAAAGTAACTAAGTAACACAATTAGTTACTTTTTTAGGGAGTAACGCAATATTGTAATGCATTACTTTAACGCTGCCTATGCTTTATATAGTTGATACTTTTTAATGTGCATTAATGGACCAAAGTGAACATATTTAGACAGGTTGTGAAGATCAATCCTAAGTATGCTAGACTGTCCCATTTAACAATGCTCGCTTCGACCGTCACAGCCTTCGAACTGCCCACTGTATTTACAGTGCAATACAACAAGTATGCGGCAAGGAGCGCTATACTGGGAGTAAACTGTCTAAAGGCTTTCTCTTTCAGGCCAAGGTCAAAAGTATCTTGTTGAGCAAGTTAGTAATATCTAGGTACCTGATGTGTCCAGTTTAACGGCACAAACTGTGTGATATGAAGGTAACTCTATCGCCCTCTTGAGGACTGGAGTTGATCACAACCGGACGGTGTGTTTTCAGTACGTAAACATTGATGTTGGTGTACTGTAAGTTTCTGGCAGCAAACGGATGCATTCATGAACATGACCTCAAAAATGCTGTTGAACAAAACGCTTCCTGATTTCACGTCGTTCCACCTCAAGACCAAGTTAGACAGTAATATGACAGGTCTTCTGCAAATGTGCTGCCAGTGTCACTGAAAGAGTGAGCTCTGGATTCCTGTCTAACTATGATTCCTCACAGCGTTTACTCTCGCATTAGAACAGAGTCCCAAGCTGATCTTTTGTTTTCTGTCAGCTTCCTTTGAGTTGTCTGCATGAGTGCACAAGCCCCGAATGTGGAACTAATCAAGCATGAATTAAGACGCTTTTTTTTTATTTTATTTGTGTAGGCCTTTCTTTCTGCAGTCTGTGCCTTTATAAATATTTCTCCTGCAAAGAGAGCAGATGTTTGGTATCACTGGCTGCGTTAGTCAAAACAAGCATCTAACAGCCTTGGTCATATCTCTTGTTAAAGACACATGATGCAGGCGTTTTATGTGTGGTATGTTTGATTTCAACTTATTTCCAACAAAACAGGAATGTTCAATGGAGAGGCCGAGGGGCTTCGTTTTTGGCTTTCGTTATTGCTATGTTTATATACTGTAAATAAAATATGAAAATAGGAGCATGAAAACAAGAAATGTGAATTTGTTCTTGTTAAATATAAAATGTCATCTTTGAAATAAATGTTTTGTTATGTAAAGCAGTGATATTCATACATTTTTCAGTGTGGTCTAAGTGTCCAAATACCTTTTGGGGTGACAGTGTGATACAATGTAATAATTAAAACAAAAACATACAAATAAAATAAATATTTTTGTTTCAATAAAAACTATTACATAAAAAATATTACCCAGTATAACATTTCTTTAATTTTAGGATTTTTTTTTTTTTTTTTCTTTTTTAAATATACATGTATATAGTCAGCAAGGTAACACATTATTTTAAGTTGAAACAATTATTTTTTTTTACAGTATATATATATATATATATATATATATATATATA